CGTTCGGTGAGAGCTGAGAAAAAGTGGTAACAGACACAAAAAAAAAAAACACATCATAGTAAAACCAATACCTTCTCAGCTTCGCATCGAAGCTCAAAATTATTTTAATCGTCTATATGAAAAATCTGGTTAAACAACTTTAAAGGGGAATTTTTTTTAATTTTTAATTAATATCATTAATAAACCACTAATTGTGATCTTTTGATGTATTGTTGAAAAAATTGGACAAATAAGAGTTGAGAAAAATGAATGACACACAAAAAAAAACCCAGCACAGGGGGGTCGCGGCACAGTTGTGACGTGGTATAGTTGGATCAAGTATAATGATATCTGACAGTGATTAAAATCACTATCAAAAATAAACGCTTCGATGCAAATCTTTAGATAGTGTTTAATTTTAAAAAAATTGGTGTTTTATTCCAAAAGCTACTTGATCTACTGGTTCCTTATTAATATCTCGATTAAGATAAAGTATGTCGAATGAAAAAGGGTTTATTAAAAAATATTATTTCTCATAAAAAAATTGTGTTGATCCATACACTTTTCAATATGTTATAGCATTATAAAGTTAAAAATGTAAAATACAAAATCGAAAATTTTCACACAAAAATTGCATTTGGTAGCCATTTTCACCGTGAAGATAAAATAAAGTCCGAAATTTTTTTTTTTTTCATAATAAAGCACATTACATTAGCTCTAATTTAAGATGTACAAAAAGTGTCAGACTTTCCGGAACATTTTCGAATGTCAAGTTGAAAAAATTAATTTTTTGTGAAAAAGTTGTCATTTTAAAACCCCTCCTGTTGGCAGGTAAAGGGTCAGATATAAAAAAAATATATGCCAAATGATAGGTAAAGATATCATGCATTTATAAAAAAAAAGAATTATGTTGATTCGGTTATTTTTAAAAAAGTTATGGCAGTTTTTAGTAAAAAAAATTGAAAAAATTTAGAAAATTAGAGATTTTTAAATTTGTAATTTTTTTAGAGGTTTCCCCCATTTATAGGGAACGAGGGAATTTTTTTTATTTTTTTGAGGGTAATGCCTTCGACTAGATACGATTTGTGATCTTTTGACGTATCATTGAAAGAAATCGGTTCGGTGAAAGCTGAGAAAAAGTGGTATCAGACACAAAAAAAAAATAAAAAATAAAAAAAAAACACATTTAGTAAAACCAACACCTACTCAGTTTCGCATCGAAGCTAATATTGGATTTTATATATTTTATATATGGAATATTTAACTTAATAATGTCATTCCTATGATTTTTTTTGACATAAAATTTATATAACACACAATAAAATTATATTAAATAGTTTTTGAAAATAACAACTTTTATAAAATTATAGTAGAACACAAATCTATAGTATGTTCAAATTGGTATTCCAAGATACACATCTTATTTATAATAAATGGCTAATGTTAATTCTGCCTGTTTGAATAAAATATATACCATTAAATGAACATAAGACTATTTATTTTATATTTTTAAATTTATTCATTGAAAATAATCGAAAATATAAATATTAAAAAATGATTAAATTTAAAACTGTATATAAACTTTAAAGTAATTATTTTATTTCTTTAGATTTAGTTGGTGATACGATAATGAATGAAGCTTTCGAGATAGACACAGAAGATCATACTAAAAAAGTCACACCATTTTATTATAATTATATTTAAATTATTTTCTCATTAATATTTAGATACATAAAACGTTCAGTTAAAAATATAACATAGATTTTAGTTGAACCTAAGTATCACTAAGTACGTTATAATATATGTGAGGATAATCATTCTACATTATATGGCATATCGCTACTATTTTGGCAACAATACATAATTGACAGTTGATCAATATTTCAGGAGCAGTGTTCCGTATAAAATGGAATATGATTCATTCTTTATTTAGTTCCTAAAAAAAAAGATTATTCTGTACCCTAAACTTATTTTTATTAAAAAAATATTTATTAACTTGATATTTTTATTTTAATATTACAACAATATTTTAAAACTTAATATTATCATATAATAATATATTTTAATCATCTTGTGCACAAGTACAATTTGAAGATTTAAAGATGTTTAATATGCATGCTATATATTTTATCATAAATCTTTTAATTAATCGAAAATTTAATAAATTATATTATTTTATTAATTTATATAATATATTTTGTCATTTTCATAATTATACTATTAATATTATAACTATAGTTTAAAATTAAACTATAGGGTTTACAAGATGATTCTTTTAATACTAATCATACTCAACTTCTCATATTACTATATTTTTTTTGTGAATTTTTTTTTTGCCATTTGTTAATTGTATACACATTTCTATTTAACTATTTTAAAATAATTTATGTTTTTCCCTTATACCTTAGATTTTATTTTTTTCAAATGGCAACATTCATAATTAACTAGGTTATTATTCAGATAATGATCGAATTAAGAAAAAGACTAATTGAAATTTGGAAAAATGTTATTAAGATATTTATATCTAGGTGGGAGGAAGAGTATGTTCAAAAATGTTTAGTTACAAAAAAAGACGTAATTTTTTTTTTCTTTAAACTGTATTAATGTCAGAGTAGTATATTAAAATTATAAAATGTTGATAATATAATAATATAATAATATAATAATGACATAAGATATACGATGCGTGTTTATAAAGTAAGTACCGTTTTTATAATCGCATTCACAGTGCAGCAGTCGATGTTTGAAGTATGCGAACTGTGTATTATTATGTATGCGAACTATTGAGAACTATAGCGGTAGACACCATCAGGTTTCGATTGTCTTTACATTTGTTTATGTGTTATTAAAATAGTACTCTCGATTAAGAATCCCGTCTACTGTAAAAGTCGTGCTATTTTTTGTTTTTTTAGTGCTAAAGGCTTGAATGCGACTGAAATTCATCGTCAAATCAGTGACGTTTAGGCGAAACGCATTATGACTGATGGAATTGTACGGAAATGGATTAGGGCCTTCAAAGATGGCCGCTTAAACATTTACGATGAGGAACGAAGTTGGCAAACTTTCAGTCATTACCGATGAATTTGATTAATAAAGTGAAAGAGAATAGACGATTCACACTTTCATCTTTGTCTCAAGAATTTCCTGCAGTTTTAAGAAATGTACTCTATGAAATTGAGGGCAATAGATTAAATTATCGGAAGTTGTGTACAAGCTGAGTATCAAAAATGTTAACGGAAGTGCATAAAACAAAACGTTTAGTCAGTGCATCGAGATTTCTTGAGCATTACAGAAACGTTAAAAATTGGTTTTTAAGTCGTAATGTTATAAGCGATGAATTGTGAGTAGCCTACGTTACACTAGAATCAAAGCAACAATTTATAAAATGGCGACTTCCATTATTTCCAAGGAAAATCAAGTTCAAACAAACAATTTCTACACAGAAAATAATGTACACTGTGGTCTAGGATGTGAAAGGAGTATTACTTGTTAATTTTTGCCTCATAGTTATACAATTAATTCAGCAGCATATTGTAAGACTTAAAAAAAGCTGCACTGTACAGTTCAAAACAAAAAGTGTGGCTTACTGATAATGCTCGTCCACATGGCAAATCAAACTTAAGAGCTTTCACATCATTTAACTGGGAACAATTGAACCATCCTCAGTACAGTCCTGATCTAACGTCCAGTGACTATCATTATTCTAACACAGAACAGAACAGTAAGATGTAATGTGTATAAAGATGAAGATGATGATGAGGAGACTGCTGTTTAGGTATTCACGTGCGTGTTGTTGTACAGAAGTCAACGTGCTCGACTAACACTCCGGGTTAGCTGCGGGTGTCGAAAGGCTGTTGTTATAGAAAAGGAATAAGGGTATGAGGTGCAGACAAAGTGCAAGACACAAGTACTTTCGTTATTAGGAGAGGATAATGAAGTACGAGGTGCAGAAGAAAAATTATTTTCATTTTTTCATTTTTTAAAAAGTTTTAAGAAAAAAAGTCAAAAATTACTGACTTTTAAAATTGGATTTTATTTAAGGGCAATATCTTCAACTAGATACGATTTGTGATTTTTTGACGTATTGTTGATAGTAATCGGTGAGAGCTGAGAAAAAGTGGCAACAGACACAAAAAAACATATAGTAAAATAATACCTTCTCATCTTTGCATCGAAGCTAAAATACACACCACTTATTATTAATATGTTAGTATATATGTATTATGTTGTAGTAACTCAAAAAGAAAGAAT